TAACTATGGAAGGAGAAAGCCCCATCTTTCTCCAGAGGGGCAGCTGGTGGATTTGAATTGCTGACCTTGCCGTTAGCTGCCCAACTCATAGCCCTGTGCCACCAGGGTTCTGGTCACCAGAAAGCGGAATTTCATTGAAAATACCATCACCTACCAAACCGGAGCTACCCTTCAATCTATTCCCAAGACCTTGGGCTCCCCAAAAAGATGGCCACACTTTATTTTGGCCTGGGGAGTAAGATTCCTTCTGGCAAAGTTGGGCTCTCTACCTAACGTTCCCATCGTAGATACAGAGCCGAAATAGAGCTAGGCTTTCTGTAACAACTTACTCATTTCCTCTGACCCTCAGAAACTTGCTCATTTTCTCTAAGGCTCAGTTTTAACAGCTGTAAATGGTGACTGAGCACCCATTCAAGAGACATTGTAACCCCTTAAGTCAACAAATTTAAGTGTATAAGGAGGCAAAGCAGTTAATCACCAAATTCTGGTTGTGTAAATTAGCCATGATATATAGAGAGAGACCCACCGTTGGCCTTGTCCTGGGCTGGAAATTCTCACTGCCACCTTTAATCTGGATCTTAGAACATCATCTCACAGTTATTGCTCTATCATTGGGAATTCCAAAGTTGTTCATAAGGTACTCTGCACTCTGTCATTGCCCTTTCTGGGGGACAAAATCCAGATCCCTTCAAGAAGTACAGAGGCCTGGAGCTAATGAGAGCCACTCACTGCTGAGTACGTGGCCTGAGGAAAGCAGTCTGATATCTGGGAGGCCTTACACCTGTGGGTTCTTTCCATCTCTCATCGGAAGCCTTCCCTAGAAGGCAAAATGTCCACCCTAAGAGCCAAGAGAATAATTTTGGATTGGATTTCACAAGTCCTAATGCCTTGACCATTCCACCTGTGTGGCCAGGCATGATGTTCTATCCCCAGAGGTAGATGGGAATATTTAAGCTCCCCAAACTCTTGAGCCCTAATGGACCACTGTGTGACCACTATGTGCACAGTGTGGTTCCAGGGAGGACAAGTATGATCATTTGTGTCAGCAGGGCGGGACAGAGTCTCGTGGTTTGGCAGTTGAGTCCTGCCCCATAATGTGACCTAATATAATCAACTCCATGATGCAATTTGCTGTGAACCAAACAGTTACTCAGATTATAGCCTTGATGATATCTCCTTGAGAGGGTGGTCTATTAAACACTTCAGCAGACTTTGGAAAACTTCACTTCTTTCTGGCCCGGATCCCACATCTGTCACATCAATCCCTGGTTCCTGAGTTCCTGCCAACGTTGAGATCTATCAACGTTCTGCTATATTGCCTGCCAACCCTGGGAGTCAGCAGAGCCTACCGACCCTGGATGCATTAGATTCTGCCAGCCACAGGCCAGATATGCAGACACCTATCGGGCTGTGGTTCTTCTGTTTTGTCTTTCTGCTTCCTGGTCTGTTGACCCTAGCACCTGCATAGTCCAGGAAGACCCTCCGGTTGAACATCTGATACACGGACTTAAATCAGACTGGGCATACGCACCCCTACAACTGTGTGACCCATTTGTTCTTGAGACAAACTTCTCTATATACCTATGCAAGCGTCACTGGTTTTTCTTCTTAAGAGAATTCAGACTAACACAACACGACATTACAGTGAAATTAGCTTTCATCATCCAGGCAGCTCAAGGTTTCTGAGGACAAAGGGGAGTCATTTACCTAATAACAATGAGAATGGAACCTAGATTTTACCCATGGAGTGGAGCCAGCCTGAAAACTAATTCCATTTCTTCCTAAGATTTCATCTGTGGATGAAACAAGGGACAAGAAACCCTCTTAAGAAGATAAAGCGAAAAGACCATTTTATCTTTTAAGTTTCAGATTGAGGTTTTGAATCCAAGGCTCAAAACTATTGTGAATGTTGCTCTTTTGAGAAAAAAAAAAGTTGGTTTTTTTCGGCCCTTTTTGTTGCCTTGATTGGGCTTTTTTTCCAGGCCCGGTTTCCTTTTCTTCTTTTTTTTATTTAACGACTGACCTTTACTATTTTCTATGACCACTTATTTAGAATTTTCCAGTTGTCCTAGACTGGAATTTTATTGTTGATTTTCTCCCTGTATTACTTTTCTCTTTCCTTCTTTTAAATGTAAGCAATCTCATCCTATCTGTGGTAGTTACATAATCTGGTGTCAATTTGGGACTTGAGAGGATTAAGAGGGTGGAGTGTAATCTGTCAATTGGGTCATATCCAATGAGGCCTCTGTGTGGCAATGGCCTTCTCCTGAGAATTCTGGGAACTCCGGTATTTTGCCTCCTTAGTGACAGGCGACACACTCTCTCTCTACTTACTCCCTGGGAGACACTGTACTGACAAGACACATTGCACTATGTCCTGGGAGTTAAAGAAGCCACTGGACCTACCCTGATGCAACCAGATCTCGTAGAGACCACTGCCAGCACTGAGATGCTTACAACGCCACTGGATCCACAAGACTTCCAACCCACTGGCCTGTGATCCTCCTTCATTCGGCATCATTGCATGTATTTTGTGAGTCTGAAGAGGACTTTATAGATTGGTAACAGACATATAGGCTAATATTGGACTTATGGACTTGATCTGGACTGGACTGGGACATTTTCTCAATACTCAATTGCTCTTGTATATAAACCCCTTTCTTATATACATATGAGTGTCTGTGAATTAGTTTCTCTGGCCTACCCAAACATACTACCTATGCAAATTCACACATTTTTTGTTACCAGAATGAACACCCAACTTCCTATGAATGTACTTCTCTTCAAGAACATAAAAGATTAAGGATGATCCCAGAAAACTCTGGTGAGGGGCAGAATCTCAAGACAGTAACTGATGTCCCTCAGGATCATACCCTAAGCATAAGGTAATGCCTTTAGATATTTTGAAAGGACAAAAGTGTTTACTAGAAGCTTGGAAATAGCTGTTCATAGGACTCTAAATCTGAAGAATCTCAGCTGGTGCAAACCTTGTTTTGTGTCAAACTGACACCCTGTCCCCAGCGGAACTATCCTTTGTACCAGAGTGGGAGGTTAAAATGGTTGCGATACCCAGTTTTTTCAATAACTCAACATCCGCAGTACTTTCACCACTTTATTTTCCTGGGATACCCTTGGAGAAATACTTATTGTTATCTAATCATCTCACTTGACCCAACCTGATTTGTTTGAATGTGTAGGATTGAATAAGTGTGTACAGAAATATGAGGATGGGTAGAATCCAGTACAATTTTGCTCAGGCATACTGCATCATTCCATGTAATTGGGGGTGAGGGGTGGGGAGTCATTTTATAAGCACTCAAATGATCCATGAATGGTCATCTTTATTCTAAGTATTGAGTTCCAAAACTTTTTTTAGTAACCTTTACTTGTGATAATCTTCTCCAGTTCAGCCAAAAATTGAACCAAAGACTAAAAGCCAGAAGCAATTAATGTCTGAAGGTACAAAAGTAGTCCCATCAAAAGGCATCCCCATCAAATGTCTATGCTCCTGTTGAACCTGAGTAGAAAATTCCTTCACAAACAAAATCTCTTATTGAACACCTTTTCATCAACCAGCTATCTTGGATCTGCCTTTGTATCAAGGAATTTACATGGAGGGCAAAAGAAGTAGAAGACAGGCTCAGAAAAGAGTTGTGAGCCAATTGATTGAAGGAAGGTATGTAACAGTAATTCATCTTGATTTCCTTGATCATCTCAGAATAACTGCCTGGTAGTATCAGGAATAATAGCCCCTCCCAGAAACATCTGACTAAATCATTTACTTATTGATGTCATGTGAGAAGGGTAGTAAGGATGCTTCAATCCCCTCAATCCTAGATAATTTAGATAGCATAATTGTGGCATCCCTTGTGGAAGAACTCTTCCTACTGTAATGTAACACCAGGTTTTCAAGAAATGTGGATGGAAAATGTAGCATTCTGCCTCTGTGAATATAGACAGCCTTGAAAATCCCATGGGGTAGCTCTACTCTGCCTTACAGGGTCACTGTGAGTTGGTGTCAATTAGTGGCAATGGGCTTGGCTTTTGTTTTATTTCAGGGAATAGACAACTTCCATTTAAATCATTCTTACAAGTTGAATTTTATTTTTACTAAATTATCTATGTTAAAAAAAATCTGTGCCTGGTGTGGAATTTCACTCCATCAAGTGTTACAATGTCTCTTTCTTTTCTTTTCTTTTCATTACAAGCAGGAGAATGAATGTAGGACAGGTGTTAGGAAACACGGCAATAAATTAGAATATAATTTACAAAAGAAAAAAAAAGTAACAGTGTACCACATTAATACTGAGTATAAAATAATAAGCAACAACTAATCACAATAATACAAAGTTATTTCATTCCGTATTATTCAGGATACCTGGGTGACATTCACTCCATTAGAAAAAGTTCCTAAGGAAAATGGGCTGTGGGGAAGTCATTTGCATCTCAAGGAGTTGAATAAGCTGGGTACATTTAACCTTCCATTTTTATTCTTAGACCCTTATGCCAGTGGCAGACACTGTGCTTAGCAAGCGGGATCCAAGTTCCCTTGGGATTTCCTAAGTAACACGTCTCACTGCTTTTGAAGGGCCTGCCCTGGCTACCCAACCTCTACGGGCAGTCCTACGATTAGACAGGAACAGAGCATCAGTTAGCCACGTGGTTGGCTAGTATAGCAGCAGTATTGTGATATGCTGTGGAGTGTGACCTTTCCCCCCACTCAGGGCTAAACTCAGGTAATGGCTGAATCCCATCAGCTTCTGTGCTAATTCTCTTAGAATGGAAATCGGATGATGTCCAGAGGGTTCTCTGCTTTCTGACCCAGTGGAGCGCTTCCCTGTCCCAGAGGGAATGCTGCCGGCTGCCCTTCTCGTTTAGCACCAGTTGGAGCACCATGCAGCACCCGGAAACAAACCTCTACAATGTTCGTTTCCAGGTGAGGTTTGGGAACAAATAGCCTTCAGCTATTCATGTAAAACAATCTTTCTTGAAATAGAAACAGAAGCTGATGTTTATGTTGGTGCCCTGGGGAAAATCAGATCCCGATAGCAAATCTGTGCTTCAAATGTCACAAAAGTTAGCTTCCCTTCCTTTCACCAGGGCAGGTTAGCACCACGTTCACGGGTCTATAGAGAGGATCAAGGGAATTCAGGGCCAGTGCGGCACTAGTACTGTATGCTTATGGGCGGCTCTGCCTTCACTGAATGGCTACAATGGCATTTGGGTTACGTAAGAGGGCCCCCACTGGGCACTCCTGTGTATCATGGAGAGCTCTCTGATTGGAGAGCTTAGGGACATGAGCTATATAGCTGTGAAAGAAAGCAGGTGACAAGATAAATGGCCACCACTGAGCATGCCTACTGTCAATCAAACATGGACGTACCAAAGTTACCATTCCTTTCTGAAAAAAATCCTAATCATTCACATAGGTCTTGGTTTATGTGACACACCTTGCATGAGGTTTCAACCCAGAGATGGATTTAAGTCAAAAATGCTCTTAAACTGCATGTATTTTCCTTGCCAAGTAGCCACTCGGGGGTACACATGGTAGACATGTGTGCACTACAGCAAAGGAAGTGTGATGGACGGCCTGCAAGGTACACAAGTCCAAGAATAAAACATGAACATCAGCAAGGACCCCACCTGTGTGTTGGGTCTTTTGATGAATAGGATTTGAAACTTTGAAGTGAGAGAAAATGTGAGCTAATCATTTGAATTCAGGTGCATTTGACTCTGGAATTTGGCCTGTCTAAAGAAACTGAGTTTCACATTTGATTACCATTCAGTATATTCATACAAAATACAAAATACTTGGTTGGGTGACTATTTAAATGATGCTTTATGATCTCTAGGCTTCATGAGTTTTTCTTCTTTGGTTGGTATCCCTTGCCTACTTTAAAACTCATAGAAATAGCACATTTATGTGTAAGCACAGTCATCTATCCACACACTCAACATACACACATACACATACTTGCTTTCGTATAAATAAATGCCCTTCCACCATTATCAAAGCAGGGGCAGCTGGAACCCATCATAATTGTCAGCAAATTGCAAAAGGGTCAGCCTGGTTGTTACCGAGCCAATTGGTCTTTTGCATGGTATCCTATCAGTAAGCTCAACATGCGTGCCACAATCCAACAACCTAACAGGGCAGAAGCTGTTCTGTGACTGGTGAGGATGTAAACACAAGTGAGCCGGGGCGACTCAGATAAGAACTCAGGCTTTCTGCATGACGGCAGCAAAGGGCCAGGGACTTCAGTCTCTACCATGCCTCAGGTCTGGCCTCCCTATGAGATTGAAAGGTTTTCCTCTTAAAGTTTTAATGGAAATTTCAGCTTCATTTGCACAATGGCAACTTGGCCACAGCCTGTTAGCACTGCATTTATAGACTTGCACAGCTGCAGAAACTGATGCACTGCTTTAAACTACGTCCCTCATTGTTGTTCGGTTTAATATAGTTTTATATATGGCTCACAGCAGTGTTCAGAACAAGGGGGGTTATTCCTAAGGAAATTAAGTGGAATGAAGAGAAATCATGCAAACGTTCACGACTGTTGATTTACAATTGCTCCTTACATTACAGTTCAAAGCCCGTTTTATAATTTAGACTGTGGTGCAGTTGTAGTGAGATAAAGTATAGCAAATATTTTTAAGCTATGACTTAAGATTTCGGAATCTTCTTTACTTCCATAGTTGACCAAGTCATAACAGCTACATTTTAAACAGTTTTAAATACAAATGGATTCAGTGTCATTGCTAAGTCCATAATAAAAATTATCTTAATGGTCCAAGGAGGTAAACAGGCTATTGGATTTACTCGAAAGAACGCAAACGTTCCACAGTAAGCAAGTCTCCCTGTGTTGTTTGGATCTCTCCAATCTGGCATTTCCCCCTAATACCGTGTCCAGCACTTTGGATCAATAAATCCCACTTCACAGAAGTTAAAATAATATTGAAATCCTGTCAGCTAGGGCTGACCAGTGGTTACGTTTTCCACAGGGTAATGCATTTGTAAGGACCTCAATCCTCTTCCTCTGGGTGGCTCTCTTTGATGGACGTACTTCCTCGATGAAATGACAAGGCTCTCTCTTTGGCTTTCCGTGGGTCAGTGTCCTTGGCAGGTCTTACAACACATCTGTCTGAAGTATGCGCGGCTGCAGAACTTGAACTTCAGCACCAGTGGGCAATAAGCCACTTTGTTCACATCTTTGCACTCTAGCAAATGGGGGCGGGGGGAGAAAATGGAAAATAATTAGAGGCACATAAACAAGTTGATGAGCCTGGCTGTTTCTCTTGGACCCCCACCCCTCGCCCAGCCCCCTTGATCCAACCTACCTTGGCTTATACATGCGTGTGGGTTTTGGTTTTGTTTTGTAAGCAGCGTCTGTCTGGTCCAGCCTACCAGAGACATTCTTCTGATATATTTTAACACAAATTTGGGCATGGGGTGGTGGTGAATGTTTGCAAGGCTTTTCCTTCAGACTTTTATAAGTATGGTGCATGCCCACTGTGTCTTGAAAGAATTACCATTTGTTGGGATAAGTGGTCACTTTAGACAGCTTGGAAACATGAGTCATTTTTCTTACAGCACTTTTATTGCTTCTTTCTCAAGGGTGATTTTATTCAGCAGTGCAAGGTTATCCAAAATCAAACATGAGTTGCATTGTTTGATACCAAAGTACACATGCCTCGAGAGAATCTTTGCATCTGTGAGGCACTGGGACGCGCCTGGATGAATGAGCGGGATTGCTGACAGTGGCCTAGATTCAGCCCCTACGGCCGACAGAGAGGAAAGCTTTGAGGGCTTGGCCTCAAAAGGCAGCAGTCTGTGGGTTATGGAAACATGTAGAAATGTCTTTTTTTAATTTGGAAGTGAGACATGGCCTCCTTTTTTCCTATGAGCATTTTCTCCTCGGTGCTAGAATTGCCACAGATGAAGCCTGTAGTTTTGACGGCCAGAAGGTGAATAAATGATTCTTTTCTCATTGCCCCTTGAGGTGGCACCAAGACCCCCCAGCACAGAGAAAGGAATGTGGGTCTCTGGTTCTTAGAGCCCAGTCCCCACCTACCTCCCTGCCCTTCCTCCCCACCCCGCTGCTGCTGCTGCTGCTGCTGCTGCTGCTGCTGCTCAGAATGATATTCCTCTCCAGCAGGCTGGTCACTTTTATCTGGGGATTTAAAAAATACTCTGTAACCCTACTAATTAAATTTCCATATGCCTCCCAGAATCAAAGTTCACCCTCATTTTTCCAGGTGGTTATACCGAAGCATCTCGGGTACATTGTTTCAGGTCATAATTACAAAGTAGGTGGAGCGCTGGGTACAGTGTTTTTGTTTGTTTGCTTGCTTGCTTATTTGGCTTGTTTGGTCCTGGCTGCAGAGATGTACTGAAGCCTGGCAAAGTCAAGCGCGTCGTGTGTGGGCACACATCGAAGGTCACATGTAAAGACAAGGGGACACTTCCCTTCTTGTTCTGGCAGAGTAAGTACCGTAAGCCATCTTACTGATTTCCCTAGAGTAAGGTAAAGCCCTTCCAGGAAAGACTTCAAATGTGGACCCAGAGCCTCCAAGGCTGCTGCAAAGGTAAGCTCGGGCCCCATCTAATGCTCCTGAAGACTTAGGATGCAAAGAGAAGGGCAGTTGGAAATTTGAAAAGAAACGCCACAGTAGGATGTGCGATACATTTTAAGTATTTGGCTGAAAGAAAGTAGGGAGTCCATGAAGATCTTTAAACTCTGCAATGAAAACAAGAAAAGAAACCCAGGCGTATCCGGTGGGTCACATTGGACTTTCTGGCAAAAGGGCATCTGGCTTATTTTCATCCAGAAGTCATTCAGGAGGGAGTTAATTTTTCCTCTCTCACTATCCAGACTAGAGAAAGTAACCAAAGAAGTTTAGATGGCAAATATTTCTGTGGGGGACCAAAAAATCATCGTTAGTGTTACCAAGAGCAGAATATTGCCGAAGTAATGCAATGATCAAAATGATGAGAGAAGTGGGGCATATCCCTGCTGACTCAATGCCACTCGTCTTTGTACAGTGTCATCATCATGAAGGAGGAGACAGGCAGCCATTGTGAGGGCTGTTCTAGTGTCTTCTGCAATAGGGCTTGGCGTGACTGCTTCAAATACAAAATAAACATTAGCTTTGCCTTACTGGACAAAGTAGAAAAATGATTTAGCTGATAAGCAGATAGAAAAGAACTGGTTTTTCTTCCCTTTAATCATTCAAGGAAATAAAGTTAGAAGCCAGATGCCTGGGTAACTAATCCCAGCGCTTCCATTTACAAATGCTATGACTATGAGCAAATGCCTTAAACTCTTTGTGCTTCCATTTCCCCATCTATAAAATAGGGATGGATGTGATAGCTGTTCACACATGCAATGCATGTACATGCCCACATATATAACCTTATGCACATTGCCTAGTATAGCATCTGATGCACAGAATGTACTCAATGAGTGTAAGGTTTTGTTTTATTTTTTCAGTGAGTGTAAGTTGTTGAGTTATTGTTATTATGGTCACTAGTAATGATGATCTTTTATCATCTGTTGACAGGAAAGAAGCAATAGGTTCAATGGTGGACATTCCAATGAGGGTGTGCTATATAGCTTTAGTTAGCTTACTAATGAGAAAATATCACTCTCAAGATACAAGCCAGCATCAAGACAAAACAAAGAATATTTCCCGCAGCACAACTTTATTGAGAGATGTATTATTCTACTGTTGGAAGAGTTACTAGACCAGGAAATTCTGAGCTGGGCAAAATATAAGCAAATGCACCAAGTTTTCTTTTAGATTTAAACTTTGGAATCTGATTAATTTATATATATATATGTGTATGTATATATGTGTATGTATATATATAAAACTAAATTGCTTACCCCCACCCCCCACTGCCCTCACTTACCCCTCACCCACTCACTGAGATGATGAACAAATATACACAGTGAGAGATTCTGCTCCTTTGGTGGGGACTAGAAACAAGAACTCTCTTCTCCTGCAAAGAGGCCCAGAGGCCAGTGGCAAGCTCTAACCTAGAGGTAGACTGGAAACCAGCTGCCAGGTGTCCTGCTCAGGACCTCTCAATATCCTTATTAAAGCGGTCCCCAGCTTGAAGGAAAGCAGGAAGTCATTCAGTCCTCTTAAGCAGGAAACTTCAGGAGGTAGTGGACTAAAATATAAGCTGTCCTAGACCAACCCCCACCAGCAGCACAACACAGCAGTTAGAAGCAGAAGAGCTCTGGAGTCAGACGGGCCCGGGATGAATTCTGGCCCTGCCGCTTGCTAGTGTTTGCTTATACTTTGCCAAGTTACTTCACCTCTCGAGACCTTGGGGCTTTTTCATCTGTAAAATGCAAACTACTTTCAGACCTGTTTATAGGGTGCTATGAGGTTTACATGAGATAATGCATGGAAAGCACAGAGCCTGGCTCCTGGCACAGAATCAGCACTCAGATGATAACCCCTCGTTCTTTTTACCACTGAAACATTTCCTTCTGAGAACAGTTACCATGTATTATTTCTCCGGGATCTCTATTTAAATGAATCTAGACTGTCAGGGTTACATTTGTATACATAAGCAAATTACCAGAAACAGGTAAATTATGATGGAGGGTGGGGAAAGAACTGGAAAAGATCAGGGTTGGAAGATTTGTGGGACCCAGA